ATGGATCTGGTAATAAGTTCAATGGGTAAAGGTTTATCATTATTAGAGGCTATTGAGCAAGTCTTGGCAAATACGGAAGAAGAAAAACGTGCCAGTATTACTAAAAATTTATATCACTTTATTAATAAAGAAAAACACGCAGAACATGAATTCATGGTAGAATATGATTCTGTTTGTTCGACTACTCTTGCTTAGATGCAAAACAATATGCTTTAAGGTATATATGAATACATTCTATGGGACTGCTGGAGATAATAAATCTCCTTTCTTCCTGCATGAACTTGCTGGGGGTGTCACATCAGCTGGACAGAGAAATATTAAACTTGTTGCAGATTTTGTTAAAAACAAGGGGTTCGGAATAAAATATGGTGACACTGATTCCTTATATCTTGTCTGTCCAGAAGAATGCTTCCAGGAATGTGATGAGGCTTACAATAATAGTGAGATCTCAAAAGAAGAATATTGGTCTCGAATGGTAAAAATATCTATGGAAGAAATGAAAAAGCTTCGCGATGAAGTTAATGGCTTCCTTAGGAAAGATAACAGATCACCTTATCTTAAAATGGCATATGAGGAAGTTTTATTTCCGGTAGCATTTACTGGAAAGAAAAAATACTTCAGCATTCCACATATAAATAAGCCAAACTTTAATAACAAACTTTTCATTCGGGGAGTTGAAACTATAAAACGGGGCAGTCTAGTCTTTTCTGTAAAATAGGAAACCATATTATGGAAGAATCTACCAGGGTAAATAATACACGTACCTTGCATCAGATCGTGGAGGGTGTACTCATGGAAATGGTAAATGGTATTTCACAGATAGATCTTAATGAAATAATTAAAACTGCTATGTGGAAGCCCGATAAAAATAACAAGAATATACAGCACTTCATTTCATGAATGCGAGATAGACATACCCGTGAAGAAGCAGATGCCAAACGGTGTATAAAAAAGGGCCTAACACCCGAGCCTTATCTTTATGAAATCCCAGAACCGGGCGAATGCTTTGAGTATATTGTAGTTGAGAATGATTCGTCACAGAAGGTAGGGGATAAAATGGAGTTTCCAGAGGTAGTAAGGTGATTAGGTAAAAAGATCGATGTTAGCTATTATTTGAAAACTGTTGTCGGCCTCTGTGCACGATTTATTAACTATGATGAAAGATATCAGCCATCATCTGAAATTGTGCTAGAAGCCTTAAAAAAGTTAAAAGATAGTAATAAAGCAGGTGACAGTAAAGTAAATAATAGTGGGGTGGATGAAGACGACCTGGACGAAGATGAAGAGGATGAAGATGAAATGAATGAAGATGAAGTATCAAAAATAAGAGATGCCTTAGTGCAGAAATCGGCTAAAAAATAGATTAGGGGGTATATCAAAAATCTATATGATGGTCCGAAAAAAGATGAAGTCATTATAACCCATCTATGGAAAGAAGCTAGCACTTACACAAAAAAATTATTTGATACTACTTTTGCTGACAAGGAAGAAGAACACCTGATTAACAATGCTTATTACTAGTCTTTCCTCAATATGCTAGGAAAGCAAGAAGAATCTATCTACTTAAAGCTAACAACATTATTTACAGAAATTCCCCAGGATGATATGGGGTGTAAAGAAGAAATGTATAAATTAGCCACTAAGACCAGTAAGTATAAATCGAAGGCCATAACCTTAGAAAGATATATCATCAGCAAAATTTTTAAGCAGATATATATCGATATATAGCAGTTAATCGATATATATCGATTAAAAATTA